ATAGAAGATAATAGACACATTCTTGCGTGATGTGAAGAACTATTAAGTGAATTTAAAGCTCAACGGTGAGGTGAGTGGATTCTAAGTCGAAGTCTTAGAGTTTTCATCTCATTAATAGTATGACTCGAGTAGAAAAGCCGCCAAGATTCTTAGTTCGGTATTTGAATAATTCTTAGGCGTTCACATTGTTGCATTTCAACCTCTGATTTTCTGGCCCGAACTGATGTAGCTTTGAAATTTGGTTAGGACAAAAGTAAATAGATAAGTCACTCACACCAACTCGGAGTTATTTGCAGTTGGATAAGAAACCGAGCTGAGGACTTATCTGAAACCCAAGTATAACTATTAAAATTTCTACGCTGAATTAATTTTGTTGGTAGTGGTGGCTTTCCCGGCTATGCGGAGAATTATCAGCCTATATTTTCTCCCTAAAGGAGACTTGAAAGTTGGTAACCAAAATAGCCGATCTATTTCTTCATCGACGAAGCTCAACCACCGAATGAAACTTTTAACTCGGTCACATGAGAGAATCTTGGATATCGGCTATACCCCCAACAGCCCCCCTCCCCTAGAAATTGGAATTGGCGTGCACAGCAATCTCCGTGAAGACCACCAAGATATCTTTCTTTGATTTGCATACCATAAAATCTCTGAAAAGGAAAAGTATTTCTTAAGCTAGAGGTGCTATCAGGCTATTACCGATGACAATTTTGCAACACTAAAATTCTGAGATAATTCAGATTGGCAGAATGGTCACTTGGAGATAGGTCTTATTTTTGCTGTCATTGTATTTATCAGTTTCCAAAAGTTCATAAGTTATATGTATTCGCAACAGTCAAGAAGACAAAGTACAATAAAAGTTTAAGTAAGCTAGAGCTTTCGGCGCATAGGATGAATTATCCTAATCCTGCCTTCAAAATAATTATTATTAGAGGTTGGATCCCTCAAAGATCTGAGAGTTCAATAATCAAATTTGTTTTCTGAAAGTTTTCGGAAAGCTTTTAAAAGCTCTAAATAGTAGCAATTTGCTATAAGGCCTTGGATAAAGAACATAATACAAACTAATATTTATAGCACCAAAAATTAATATGTAATTTTCATTTAATTCAAAAAATAATAATTAATTTTTTCTTTATAAAATAATAATATCCTTCGAGATTTAGCACAATTTTTGGTAGAAAGACACAATAAATAATTTTTAATTATACAAAATTTCTGCAGAAACGCAAATTTAATTTTTCTTAATTATTTTCTGAAATTTTTGACCTTCACGCCACCGTCCCCAACTACCAACCCGAGTTGTAGCCCTCACGTCGTACCTCTTCTATAACGACGGTGCCATCTGGACGCACTCGTTCCGTTATAGTATCTACTTCCACATTACCGTAAGGTCCTTCCTTCACAATAGTCTCCGACACTTGGCCATATGGTTGCTGGTAAGGCTGTTGGTATGGCTGCTGGAAGGGTGGTTGTTGGTAAGGTGGTTGCTGTTGTTGATAGCCAGGCTGATTGATATTTTCTGTGATGTTGATGTCAACATTGGGACGATCGTGATGATGGAAGAAAGACATTGTGTAAAGTTACCCTCGAGCTATGAGAAAACTTATATTAATTAGTTGTGTACTTCACTCGCTATACGACCGTTAAAGGCGCCTGTCGAATTGCAACTACTCCACGGTAAAAATCGAAATGCTAATTTATAAATAACAAATTTTTGCGTGCTGAACATTACTAATTTGTGGCGATCGATCAAAAACTTTATCTCAGCGCTGTAATTTGGAGCTTAAAAATATAAGCAAGCTACCGCAGGCTTAGTCGCGCTGATAAGTGTTGATGGCATTGGATGACTCAGTGTTCACTTTCCAGTGAAATATTTATACCGAATTTGACACTGATACATGAATATATCTAACACTAATTTTATGTGTTTATCGCGGTGTTTTGACATTAAACCCCCAGAGTCTTTTTTGTTTTTCACCGCCAAAGCGTTATATATATTTACCAAAGGCATAACTACATATACTTGAGGCGTAAATGGGCAGGTGATACTGGATTGACTGTACTTTGTTGAGTGTAAATGCGTTTTGTCTATGCCAGAAAGATTTTTCGTTTACTTTAATTGAATTTTTTTTACTTCAAAGCACAGTCTGCCTGCTGTCGTTGGGAGTGATTCTCAAGAGAAAAATAATATTTCATTAGATTTCGTTTAATATTTTTTGTTTTTCAAATGAAAAAATCCAACGAAGTTTCAGCTAAGAACAGAAAAATTTTATAGAAACATTTTTAAACATGTTTAGCGGAAAAGTATTTAGTTATTGTGGCTACAGTAATGAAGTGGTTGGCAGCGCCTGCGACCATGTCCAGGCTCAGAAGTTCGAATTTTGGCACAAAAAACAAAAGCTTCCAGGTGTATTGGATAAAAATCGATCAGCCTTTCCTTGACGAACTAGAATAAAAATCCATTAGCCTTCAAGAGATTAATTAAAATCGCTGAAGAGGTTATAACCGTCGACTGAGTTTTTCAGATGAACTTAGCTTATGATAAAAAATATGAGCTCGCGCCGAAAAAAATATTAGCTACATTAGAAATTGTACGCTTTTGGCGCTAAGCGGTTGCGTTCAAGGTTTGGTATTCGATGATTTCCCGGTTTTTTTTATGTCCAGTTAGTGAGAGGGCTGTATATTCATAAGAAAAATGCGATCTCAATAAGAGTCCATATTCAAGAATAACTTTTTTATTGAAAAAAAAAAAAAACTAAAAAATGCTTAATTCAATGTATGGTCCAGTGGAAGCGATTACCTTTTCCCATCACTTTATGATTTTTCGACTGCCATATCTAGATGACGACCGCGATAGCCGAGTGGTTAGTACTATGTACTGCGATTCAGAATGTCAGGCCTCGAATTCTGATCCCACCAACATCCAAAAATCATCGAAAAATAATTTAAATAAAAAATTTGGGAAAATTCGGGAGCCTCACCCCACCGAGTATGTTTTGATATAAAATAAAGTCTCTACTTTTGAAGCACTTTTGAAACAAAACAAAATGTTTTTGTTCATTATAGTTAACAGCTGTGAAACCTTTCCAATAAAATAGATAGCCCTTCCAAGATTGGCACAATTTGTAGATGGAGCCATTTTTTCAGTACCCCAACAATTAATAAGATCGTTGTTTGAAAAAATCTGCTCCATTTCCTTAAATGTGGGTGTGGATTTTCATCTACATGGTACATGGCTGCTTTCTGTATCCTCCCGTAGTTTTGAATTATGGCTCTACAATCACTCCATTCTTTGTGCTTAATAGCTTCGATTCAAAGTTGCTTGCACAATTTGGAAATTTCATAGAGAGAGCACTAGAGCGAGAGATAGAAAAAGAGAGAGGGAGCGAGAGAGCAAAAGATTGATGGGTGTAGAAGCTCTTGAAGTGCAACTACCTCTCCAGTTCATTTCGGACTTGTCAGTATAGATTGTGATGGTATTCTCACCTACTAGACCTCTTCTTACTAAAGAGAGTATTCTAGAAGCAACTATTGGCATCCAAAGAGTTTGTTAGTTGGTTCCGAGTATTGGAAAAGGTTCAGAGTATGGGAAAAGTAAGCACAATTTTTGAAGCGAAGAGCAGATTCAGTTAAGCAAGGTCTGATTTGACTTACTTATACTGAATAATATACTCCCTTAGCTAGTTGATGGTATATTCGGAGCAAAGTGCGTTAGTCACCCTGGCCCTGGTCTACAAAGTATCTCACTTGGGGCTTAATAGATGGAGTATCTTCTGAACGCTGAAAAAACTTGAATACATTTTTGAACTCAATTCTATTCTAATTCAATTTTACTAATCACTTCTATAATTTCGAGAGTTTAGCTTAAATAGTACAAAAAAAAAGTTTCAAAGTTAACAGTCTAAATATTTTTCATTTATTTTGACTTTGCGATTCAAAAGGCCCGTATTGATATCCTGGTACAATCAACCCCCAAAATTTATAGAAAATTACTTTAATTAAAAAATAAAGTTGAATTTTCTAACTGCGGTTGCCTCTCGGCAGAGAATGTCAACCGCTTAGAGTGTATTTATGACTTGAAATTTAATGCTCCTCATAAGAAACCATAAGCCGGAGACGGCTTAGCATAAACTGTGGGTCTTTCCATTTGTTGGGAAAACATCAAGACGCAACACCACAAGTTGGAGGAGGAGCTCGGCCGAAATTCGCTGCAGCTATTACAGAGCGGCAGTTATTTTTTATTTATATAGCTCTATTGGTAGTATATGCGAAGAAAAATTCAAAACTGATATATGTTCAGTTGAAGTTGGAAGAAATCAAAAAAGCTGAAAACATGGTTTGTGGAATTGTAGTTCAAAAACTCCAGGAAATGCACATTCTCTCTTTTTATTAACTCCAATGAACATATTTATCCACCTTTGTGAAGAAATCAGTCTGCAATACCAAGTAGAAGAAAGACTGATCTTCGAAAGTCTTCACGCTTAACAGAGAACTCAACTCTGTATGCGAATCCGTATATTGCCTCCTGTAGAACATCTAACCCACATGGCTTTGAATAGATGCATAAGACCCAGCATCGATAAGCTATGTTGTAGGCAAAAGTCAAAATATGTAAGTGAGAATCAATTCAATAAAAAATAAATAAGGTGATTTGATGACTGACGTTCAGTTAAATCTGATTATATCGTGAGGACACAACTCCAACAAACTAAATTTTGATTCCAGTCCCGAACATATCGGTGAAATAGAGCCCGAACCAAAAGGCAATCTTCGTAAATTTTATTTTGAAATTATTGCCAAAAGCTTTTCTCTTACAGTAAAAATTAAATATATTTATTAACAATTAAAATAAATAACTTAACACGAATAATACATATTTTTATTTAGGAACTTTTACAAGTACAAATGATTCTTGAAAAGATTATCGGTATTCTCCACGCTTTTCACTTGATAATATTACGGTCCTCCAAGTTTCACTTCTTAGTCACTAAATTTTTCAATTACCAACCATTATTGGGGGGTGGATTATTGAAGTGTCTGGGATAGCCATAACCACCAGCGCCATTATTATAATTACCACTGTTGTAATTATTATTGTTGTAATATTGTCCTTGCTGTGGCACATAAGTAACAGATGGTTGTGGATAGCCTACAGGTGGACCGGCAGGGTTTCCTTGTGTCACAACTACGATTTCGGTGCGAGGCGGCGGTGGTGGAGGTGGTGTCGTAAATATTGCATCAACCCATCCGGGAAAAATATCAATTTCAAAACCTGGACGACGATTGTTATAATAAGTGCGATCGTAATATGGATCCTCATAGTATGGTGGTGGCGGCATGGCACGGTGTTTTATTTAAATTAAATTAAAAATAAAATAAAAATTAATTAATTTATATTAGTTTACTGGAAAATACTGTCTATATTTTTCGCTGCTTGTTGAGTGCGATCGTGTTTGTGCAGGAAGCGTTGTCTTAAAACTGCCATTTTGGTGGCGTAATTATTTACATATAACCTAAGGTGGTTAAGTACAGACACAAACAACATTATATGTGAAGTGTATTTATAACCCAGCATATATTTCGGTTCCACTTCTAACAGCAGTTCAAAAATGTTATTCTTGAAGCCATTACCCGAAATGCCAAAGGTAATAAGGATGGAAATAGAGAAATCAAACTATTCAATAAGTAAAGATATGCTCGCTTTTTAGCTTTCTTACTTGAAAGACAGGTAGGAATACATATATTTATATCTTTAAATTATTTCTTTAGTAAAGCCTATCAATTTGGTAACTTACCTAATATCATGTAAATAAGGATATGATTAACCTAATCCATATAAAATATAAACCGCTCCTTTCCTTTTTTTATATGTATATGAGAGTGACTTTGAAACTGTACCATCTTTATAGCTTAGATCTTTATCTTCGGCTTCCAATATGGTGGGTTTGGGAACTTAAAAGTTCATTCTTTATAGTAGTACTATTTTCGTTCCCGGCAAAATGATGAACACTTAAATGCTCTCAAATTTACTGCTGGGCATTGACATATGGTAGTATGGTACCTTATGGGTACGAGTATGTAACTGTATACCCAGATATCAGAGGGAATTTGTGAATCACCTATTGGACGATATTAAGTCATGCATACGTGTATATGTATGTTTGATTGCGATAACCGATGTATAAGCTTGCACTACGCGGGCAAAGCAAAATTGCAAGTAATTGCTTTTTTTTACGAAAAATAAAGATATGGAGAAATTGAGCAGTGAAATCGAAAACAAAGATTAAAGGGTATTTGACGAATAATTGTGAAAAGAATCAATAACACCGGAATTTAGAATACGTCCAAATACGCCAAAAAGCTGAGAGAGTTAAAGTTTCCATTGCATTCTTGTGTTCTTGAGTGTTCACACAGATACAAATAAGCTGAAGAAAAAAATGTTTATTTGAGAAAAACTGACGTTTCTGCAAATATGGCAATATCAAAGCTATAGAATTTTTCTAATTCGCTCTTCGCAAAAATAATGCATTAACAGCTCCTTTCTCCAGTTTAGCATAACCTCTTTATATATTATACTTTAATAATACATTAATAATTTACTTCTTTGATTGAAAGTTCTTGTAAACGGATTTTATTTGGTCTAGTGCTGTCATCCTTGATTCTAGAGTTACCCACCAAAATTTTTAAACTATCAGAGCAGAACCCGTTTCAACATTTCTTGGTAACCAGATGAATTTTTACTTCGACCACTCGTCGCTGTGGCTCTCCTTATTTTGACCAATTTTCATTTTAATTGGTATTGCAAAGAATGTTAAGAAATCTCAAACTAAGCATCTTCTAAGAGAAAAGCTCAAGATCTGTTACGAAAATACCAGGATAAATGCTTCGATGAACGGCAATCCAACCATTCGTATCTAGGCTTATTCACACTCAGGTTGATCCCTTTTTAGTATTGAAAATATTATTTATATTTGAAACAAATCACACCTGGTTCCAGGTCTCTGGTTCATTTTCAAGAAATAAAGTTATTCCGGTTAGGAATAACATCCAAAGATTTAACTGAAACGAACCATGAATACTAATATTTTTTCGAATAGGTCGATCTGCCTCTCATAAAAAAAAGAATTTCAAGTAAATCGAACCATGGATATGAGTTTTGTTGGAATTAATCAGGCCCTGGTCCACTTTCCGAATAAATTTTTCAAGCGGGGTCAGATCGGTATGGCATAACATTAGCTTATTTTTGAGATAAGAGATTAAGGTTCAAGACATCAAAAAAAAATTCAATACAATAAATTTTGATATGTTCAAGAAGTGCGTAAAGGGCTTTGGCATAGCTGAAAGCAAAACCTCTTTCTTGGCTTCTTTAAATTCGAGAAACATGTTATTTTTGTGGAAAATCACATCGCACGTGTCACGAGGCCTTAGTTACGTATTCTTTGCCAAACTCGTTTGGTTTGGTTAATAAAAGAAAAACTTTCAATCAAGAGCTAAAGTGAAGTCATTAGTTAATTGTCTGCCTGTGTGAACAGCGTTTCAGATAGGCTTCTATAAGAAGAAGTGTTAGTTGATTACTTTTGGCATTCAATTTGCTGTTTTCCAATTTCTCTCTCTTTGGGATTGCTCATCATTAAATAATTAATATTTGTCAAATTAAAATAGTTTTCGTTAAATCAACGAAACCAATGAAAAAAGGCTGACTCATCCGAGGTGTCTTAAAAGGTATGTGGCGATATTTTCGACATTTTCATTCAGCAAAAGATGACTCATGAAAAAGTTTCTTTAAATGAGAGTTGTATCTATTGCATGTCTGACTTACTCTGAATAATGAAATAGAACGATCAAACCAAATTTTCTCCAAATTTGAAGCCTATATCTCACAATATTTCAATTGTTTAATATCTTTCAAGAAGCCGAGCAGTTTTAAAATACTAAATAATATCTTTTATGTTCCGCATAAGGAAGGGTTTGAAAAATAAAAGCAAAACATGTAAACTTTATATCAAATTCGGTCTAAAAAGTTTGCTTTCATTAATGAATAAAAGAAGCTTTTTATAATTTATTGAGAAATTGGAAAAGCTTTCATTATTCATTCATTGAATCATTTGTCATAGGGTGACCAGTAAAAACTTATTTTAAAGGGTGATCCATTTCATTCAAAAAACATTATTTGGCATTTGTTTTTTGAAGATTATCTCTTTCAAATGTTGTCCGTGGCTATGACTCAGATGTTCCTTCCACTGAGTCTAATTTACGATGACTCGTTCAAGTTTTCTCATCAATAATTGGCAAATCACACGCGATGTTCTGCTCCAAGGCCAGAATCGAAGCAATATTGCCCGCATAGACTTCAAACTTTACATATCTCTGCATGAAAAAGTTTAACGGTGTGATATCACACTAATTTGATCGATCGGCCTAAAACGTGAAATTATCTGCCCACCAAAGTGTTCTCTCAATATATCCATTCATTGATGCGTTGTGTAGCATGTGACGCCATCTTGTTGAAACCAAACGCCGCCGAATTCACGAGCTTCAATTTCAGACATCAAACAGTCGGTTATCATGGCGAAAATTCCACCGGCCCACAAACAACTCCAAATCGTTTTTTTTATCTAGATGAAACTCCAGCTCGTGAATCTTTTCAAATTGCTCTACATCTCAAATGCGAAAATTTTGCTTGTTTACATTGTTTACATCCATTGAGCGTGAAATGGACCTCATCGCTGAACAAAATTTGGCTCGAAAACCTCGAATCTTTATGGAGCTTTTCAAGAACCCATAAAGCGAAGCAATGTCGGTGGGAACGGCGCTGAATCGACCCTCCATGGTCTTAGCGTACACTCTCAGTTACCTTCGCTTTATTTTCTTCACAACACGTGTTTTATGTGGTCGAATATATCCAATAATGAATGTTGAGTCACAAGATGGCTAATGGTGTTGCGAATAGTACGCTCATTAGGTCGATTATGTTTGCCATAAGTTGATCGAAGCACGCGTAACTCTGTGAGAACCGCTTTGAAACTTTAACCTTGTTTTTCTCAAAACCGGCGAAGAATGGCTGAACCGATTAGTCTTAAATGTTTACACGTGCGTCTGAATAATATTTTCTAGTACTCAATCGAAACCTTCCTATTAGCAATGAAAAGTGTTTTTTAATGCGCAATCCAATACCAAACTTATGGAAAAAAATTGATTTATTTTAAAAGACGTCATTTCGCAAAAAAAAGTGTCGTGCTAAAATCCAAAAAAGTAAAAAAGTATAAATTAAAATATTATAAATAAGAAAATAAATTTCTTTAAATTTTCTCATTGCAGTCGCACTCGGCAGGGAATAAAAATGCAACTTCTTGAAAAAAAATTTATTAATTACATATAATCATGGTAGTGTTAACGCTAAACTGAACGCCACAGTAAAAATTGTGTAATTTTTTGTTTATTATTATTTATTTTCTATTATTTCTTTACAATTTATAAATAGTTTGAAATATGTGATACAGACACCAGCGATACAATAATCAGTAAATGCTGATAACTTAATGACAGCTGATAACACCGTTATTAATATGAAAAAACACAGTTCTTTGTGCTTGTGTTAAACCCTAAATTTTATTTGAGTTAATAATAGACAAAAAAGACTTAATACTATTTTGTAGAACATTTAAAAATTATTTAAACTACGCGACAACTAAGCATATATGAAATCATACTTATGAACTTATGTACATATGTATATAATATTGTATGCTTTCCATATTAAACATTCGTTAAATACATTTATTTCCGTAAATTCGCACAAAAGTTCCTCAATAGCCTGGTGGATTATGATAGTGTTGGGTTGGTGGCGGAGGTCCTGGTGCTGGATAGTACGGCGGCGGCGGTGGCTGTTGACCTTGTGGCACAACCACGACAACAGGTTGACTTGGCGGTGGTGGAGGTGGTGGCGAATGATGATGATGATGATGGTGATGGTCGTGATGACGCCTACGCCATGGCGGTATAATTTCCACTTTAACTAATGGTCGCCGTGGTGGACCCGGTGGAGGTGGTCCATAGCCAGGTGGTGGTGGTGGTGGTGGTGGTGCCATTACACTTTGCACTTCTAATCAATCACTATCGCTTTGTACGCACTGTTATATGTATTTATATAAGCTGATGGTGTATTGTGGCCTAATTGAATCGCTCCCGTCCTTGATAATGCACTACGTCTTAATTTGCTGCAGTCCCGTGCTCAACTGTGCGTTAGCGTAATGATAAATAGTCTACATACTCGTACTCGTTTGGAGTGAAGAAGTGGTCACCACACCGCAAGTTGTTTATTGTTGGTGTTGTTGTTCAGTGTCACCTGTATGGCTGATGTGTGAAATCAATAATCGTTAATTCTGAGATTACTTATCGCATGGTGCTCGGTAGATACGGCGCGCAGACATTGTAAAGATAAGTAATGGAATGGTGATAAAATTTAGTTCGGTGGGGTGGCCAGGTGTGGTGAATATACAATATATGCGTTTTGAGTATAAAGAGAAGTGTATGTTACTGAAATTATATGTCGTATTCACATACATACGTGTATGTACGTAAATTAATTTTTATTTATTAAGGGAATCACCATTCCATTGTGGAGTGCTCATGATTATGACTTCTTGCGTTATGAATAACTTAATTTGTTCAAATTAGAACCTACCTGCATATATACGGTATGATTATGGAATGAGTCATATACTCGTAGCTTAACGAATACACAAATGGACTTACAAAAGATCTTGTATTTAAGGTAATTAATGGTGATGGAACCACTGGTGCTCAATCGCGAACGTATACGAGGCACCGTCATCAAAGTATTCTGGGTAGGACAAGAGTAAGTGCAACATGGATATCCAAAATAGATGCAACAAAGCTCGAGAAAGAGTTAAAAAAACTGCATTCCTTAGTCCCTAATCTTTTATACAAAATCTTTCCACAGTGTCTATATGATTTGCAGGAGACTTTTGTTAAAGCATTGAATTGGTCAAATCCATGAGGAGCCGGCATCGATTCATAAATGTTGAAACGTACCACCGATAATTATTCAGTAACTTAAAAAAATGTTTGTAGTAAGCAAAGAAAAAAAGGCACCCTTGTCCCTATTGGAATTTCCATTTGCGTTGGTGGTGGAATTTCGTCTGACCTATCCTCAGCTATCTTGCGTTTTATCGTCTCCAATTTAGCCGATCGTTCTAAAATTTGAAACGAAGACTAATAAAGTAATTGCAAAAGATTTGGTATTTTTAGATTAAACAAAAACCATTTGAAATTCACTAAAATCACCCTTGTATAGTATTTCTCTTTAACGGTTACATCCTAAATCTATTATCTGAGATATACTTTGTGGGGGCTATAAATTATAGTATTTAGATCGGACCAGTTCCGGTAAGTAATCAATGCAGTTTAAGTTACATCTAGCTAACAAAATGTATCGCAACTTGATTGAGGGACTAGTTTGCTTTCAAATAGACAATCAGGAGAACAGTCAGATATATGGGAATGGTTAAGCCATCTTAACTCAAGAATACCAATCAAACTTTTATTCACTCAGCCATTCAATCACTAGCAGTTTTGCAAATTTATATACCCTTCTACCTATTGGCGAAAACTTGGCCACTTGGAGACTTTTTAGACCAATTATTCACCAGCTAAATCACTTACCATAGACAGGAACGGAAAACAATCACTTGGCGGGAGGTCCGGACTATAAGATATGTACACGAGAACTTCCCAAGCAAGCCCTCAGAGCCTCTGGCGAGTCACTACCTATGTGTCTGGTCTAGAATTGTCCCATTGAAACCAAATTCTTCTCATGTTGGCCAGAGCTGAGCGCTCCTGGGCGACTTCTTTTTTCAGGTGGTCCAAATGCTGATAAAAACAGATCTGAAGTAAGAGCTTTGTCGTAGTGGAATAGCTAATGTTAGATGATTTCTTTCTAATCACATCGAAAACACCACAAAATATATCTTACCATCAGTACTGGGTTTGTGTCGCCTTCAAACGCGACCGTTTGCATCTAACGTGGTGGTAAGAGATCCACTTTTCATCGCCAATCACAACCTGCTACGGAAATAGGACGATTTTCTTTTGATTCACAACCGATTTACAGCTGGTAATTCGGTGCATTCCTTAAGTCTTGTTATGAACCCACACATTGAGCATCTTTATGTATCTAGGCGTTTTCGTTCAAGTGGTTCCAAACTATGTTTTGTGCATTTTTAAACTCCTTGGTAATCCAAGAAGTACCCTCATGTTGGTCAGCATCGACGGTTTTCATTATTTTGTCGATATTTTCGACAATTGGCCCGGTACACCGTGGAGCATCTTTTACATCAATATTACCAAAACGACTCAAACACTATTTAAATTTTCAGCTGCTAGACTTGCGTCGTCGCCTTTATCGAAAAATATAGGAGGGTAGAGTGTATTTTCACTAGACCTAGGACTCAACATCAAAAGCGTCTGTTCTTAGTTCATTCGCAATAGGTTTGCGTCTATACTAAAACTCCTTACAATGTGCCTAATTGTAGGCAACGTTTTAAGATTATTTTCCATGTTTTTCCAAACGTAAGTGATACACATGTTGTCTGCATTTACGATAATATTAAGGAGATAAAGTTAGATTTAAGAAATTAACGGTAAAAGAAAATAATTCATTAATAACAAGAACTATGTAAGAAAATTATTATTGATAATTATAAAAATTTTTAAACAATTTTAAAGGTGGTTAAAGAAAAAAAGATTCGATGAATTGATATATTTCGGCTACTCATGAGCATACAACGGTATAAGGTATTCATGCGAATAACCTGATGTATGTATATGCACATATTTTTCGGTGCCTCCTCCGAAGAAAAAGCGCTTTTTCAAAATTTATGCTATAACGTCACATTGAAAACGCTTGACAGCAACTGTCAAATTTTCTACTTCTTTCAGCCACAGCAATCCTATAATTTTAAACTTTTTTCCCTTATACGTATTTATTTGTATATATATAAATTTAAGCCAAGCCACAAGTTGAAATTAGAAAATGAAAACGCAAAAAAGAGTGAAGAAAAAGATCGAAAAAAGTTGCACGCAGTTACTCGTAAATCGATAACTGTCAAATGTAGGGAATTTAAATATTTATCGAATACGAAAATTGATATTTCAATGAATGTATACTCACACACATATATACATGTTTGTATATATAAAAGTGATTTGACAAAAATGGTAGCAAAGAAAAGAAAAGAGTTGAATGAATGCGAATTGAAAAAGCAGTTGAGAGACGCCTCCAATGCTACAACACATACGGGCATACATGTGTACATATATGTATGTGTGAAGTATACACATACCCACACAAACGCGCTGCCAATAATGCAGATATGATGTTAAGAAGACCGTCTTTGCAGGAGTCAGCAAGGCTCCGATGACGCCACCGCCGCCATCAAGAATCGCAATAAAATAGAATGAAGTAAAGCACTGCCTCTGCGTCTTGGGACCAAGTAACAGCAACCGCACGCTGGAGCAGCTGGAGTGAACATATACATTTTTATTTTATATGCAAGTGAATATTATTTTACTGTCTTTCTATATTACATACTCATGCATACGTAAATATTAATAAATGCATGTATGTATGTATGTATGTATATGCATTTATTCCGCCTTCATGTCGGATGTCAGGAGCAATAGCACAAGACAAGTCACTTCACACAGCCATTAAATAGAATTTTAGTACAAGACGTAACGGAATTGCGTTGAGAGCATGTAACCGCACAGTAGCACCAAAAAGTAGGAGTATATGCATGCACACACACACACACACACAAAACAAACATGCATAGCCCAAATACACTCGCACTATTTTTGTGGCCAAACGCAGTCACTGGTTCGAAAATGAACAGTACGTCTTCGAGCGAACGACGACGATGACGACGACATTTCAATTTAAGAAATGCATTTTATAAAAATTTTAGGTGTTCAGCGTTGCCGAAGCGTTGCTAACTGGCTGACTCGACTCCACTGACTGAGCAAACTTGATGCTGCAGCAATTTAAATTTTCCTGCTTTGCTCTCATTTGATTTTTATTTATTTATTATTTCTTTTATTTTTTTATTTAATTTTTTTTGTGAGTGGAAATTAAACTTTAGTATTCTTGTGGTAGAGTGAAAATTTTTGATTTTCTCCTGATTTTGTGGACTTGAATATTTTATTTAGTAATTATTTTTTATTTCATTTCTTTTTTTATTACTTGTTTCGAAAACTGCTATTTCGAGTGGAGGTACATAGGTATCTACTATGTTAAACTGGGCCACAGATAATCCTTTCAGCTTCTGAATCTTCGTAGTATTATTCAGGCGCAGGTCTTTGATATAGGGAAAGCTGTTGAGCCAACCGAGAAGGTAGCATATAACGTAAAAAATATTAAAATATGAAAACTAGTCAGCAAATAATGTAACAATCTCGCAGTGCATTACGTCAGAAAATGTTACACGAAGCTTTGAAGCAGTGGATGGAAGCAACACATGTTCCACACCATATGGACATTACCTGGAGCAAAATACTAGTTGAGATTGTCAAAAGAAAAGTGGAGAACTTAGCAAGAAACTCCTAGACCACTTGGGACGTTTTACAAGATCATAAGTCAAGGCATGAGAGGATAATGTAACTAATATTTGCTTCGGTGCCCTGGAAAGGACTGCAGGTCGAATGACCACGCTACAACGAAAACACTAGTTATTAACTTGAATCCAATTAGTTCATATTTTTACACCAACTATTTCAGTTCCCATCTATTTTCCATGTAAGTTACTGGTACTTTTAACACACGATTCATTTATTTACTGGATCTGCTTTAATATAAGCCTAACAATAAGTGTACAAATCTTAAAAACTAAACATGATAGCTCGAGTTATGTAACCCTGAGCCCTTTTCAAACTACGGCACTCTACTTAGAAGGCGGGAACATCTCTTCGCTGTAAGCGGGAACTTAATGATGGGTTGCTTAAAGGATTAGCTAGCGGATTTGGATGATTTCTCAGCTTTGTGAAGTACTTCGTACTGCTTCTTTCAATTTCTGGCTTAACCTTACGAACGGACCATGTTGCACCCGTTAGTGGTATATATATATTATTATTGGCACTTTTTATTTAAATAAAATTAATTTTTAATAACTTTTGGATGTTGGTCGCACGGGGATTTGAACCCGAGCTTTCCGAATGGCAGTACGCAATGCTAACCACTCAGCTACCGCGGCCGCCAAAGTC